GTATATACGAACAAAACACATGTGTGCACACACACAGATACACACACACACACACACACACACACACACACACACACACACACAAGAGAGAGAGAGAAACAAACCTTTCAAGGCTTATATTCAACCATGGACTTTATAAGCCAGTGTTGCCTAAGTATTAAAACATTGGATTATCCTGAGATGTACCAGGAAAGGATTTTATAATGCTTAGAAAAAAAACAAAAAACAAAAAAAATACCTTTGATGCATTGAATGTTCTTTCATAGCTGTCGTTGTTGAATATAATATACATAGATAGCGATGTGCAGGGATTTTTACCCAGCCAGCTAACTTTACTACCTTCCTTGAAGGTGGGTCTTTTTAAGATGACCATTCGCTCATTTGAAGAAGAAAAATAAAAAACAAAAAAAATAATAAAAATAAAACAATTTTTACAAAGTAATGGGATTCAAAGAAGGGAAAAAAAAGATTTTTCTTTTTTGTCAAAATGTTGATCCACTCAGATTGGTAAAAAAAAAAAAAAAAATACCCACACAAATTAAAGAGGAATAATAAAAATTGCAAAAATGAAAAAAAACTTTTGCAAATTTTTTTATTTTTCCTTTTTTCTTTTATATCATGTGAACTAAAACAGTCTTCTGTTAGGGGATGGGGGCCAGGGGGATACCTGATGACATTAACAATTTAATAACATTAACATTGTTGCCAAAGAGGTGGTCTCTTTGCTGAAAATGGGTTTCAAGAAAAATCTATTTTTATAAAATATAAAGAATTTTTACAAGAGAATCTGGATTTGAGAAAAAATATTTTGACTGGCTAATTTAGGGGAAATTGACAACTTTGTCGCGTTCATACTGCACTGGTAACTTTTTAGAGATCAAGATGTGTGTTTTAAACTGGATTCGTAGACTGTTTTTTGAAGGATGGGCTATAAACAGATGATCTTCATATCTTTTCATAGCATGTAATAATAATTAAAAAATTATTAATTACTAGGGGAAAGGAGTGTTCGTTCTACCCAGGGTACCACAGTTCCCCACAGTCAAAACCCAAAAGCAAGGAGATGAGTTGAAAGACAGTTTTTCTTTAAGTCATCAGTATGGGATGTCAGCAGAACAAAAATTTAAAAGATTACTTTTCCTTTTGATCTAAAACTTTCTTAGTCTGAGCAGTAGGTGCTACGAAATTATTTACATATCTTAGTATCATAGTTAAATGTAATGTGTTTAGGAAAGGAAAACAAAAGATACGTTTGCTTTCAATTCATTAAGGAGTTTTCAAATTCACTTTGTAGCCCATGCTGATAGAATTGGGCTGTGTTGGTACATTTGAGACACTGTTTTTGTTGCTTGAAACACTTATTTATTTAATCGCTGATGTGATGATGCCTATGGCCGAGATCAAATATAGCTAGATTGGCTAGACTACTTATTTGTTTACTTAAACTATGGGAAGAAGCATATTATTGTGTCATTCTGTTGTGTGTGTATGTGTATATACAATATAAATATATATATATATAAAGTTATTTTTCTTTGGGTTAATTTATTATAAGTTGTAACACTTGGCTAGTTTTGTTTGTAATGTCTTAAAATGTTTTCTTATGCTATTTAAGTGACAGTTAAAGAGGTATCAAGGTAACTTGTGTAGAACTATTGTTTGGTATATTGTCATGTTTATTGTGAATATTTTTTCTTACTGCACAGTAGAAAAATAAAAACAACTGGGTCTTTATTTTCATGTAATTCAGATTGGGGGAAACAAAACAGAGCTAAGGGAACAAAATGGCTGAGGGAGCATTCTCCCATGTCCAGTGCACTGATCATTTTAGTACGTTTGTGCTTTGTACGGTTCTATATTTAAAACAAAAACAAAACAAAAAAATACAAGGGTTCATGCTCTTCCCTGGGTAATAGAAACAGTTACTCGCTATGCATAATCTAGTTGATAGTTAAATTTGCTATTGCTTTTCTTGTCTTGTTATATAAAACCTTTTCAATACAAGTTTAGTCTTAATGGTAATAAAATGTTATGGTTATTTATAACTTGTGCTTATTTTGTGCGTTTTTTCCCCATGCTGAACCCACTAAGTGCATGCAGACAGACTGCTGTTTTCACACTGAAGAGGCGAACTTTGTAGTAGTCGTGGTAGTGTAGAGAGTACCGAAAAACAAGGCTGCATCGTAGACTCCTCCTTTACATTTTTTAAAATTTTTCCTCTTTTTTATTTTGAAAAAAAACAAAACACAAAACAGATTTCAGTTCAGAGAACACTCGTTCAACATTCAGGGAAACCTTTTTACGTCATCTGCTATGAATGAATGCAGTTTGCTGGCAAAGTTTTGATGCATTTGCTAAGTAAGCATAGTGGGAAAGGCATGCCAAAACCTCTCCTCTATAAAGTGTTCACGCTGGGGGGGGAAGAAATCTTAGGACCAGGCAGTTGTATACTTTAGTTATAATGAATGACTTCATGTTAATCTTGCTAGTTTAGATGATTTCTGAGGGAAAGTATTGTAACTGGTTCTTTTTCCATAACCTTGTTGTGTTTGAATTATTTGTACTTTATCTGTCCAGACAATAAATGAAAGTGTGTAGAATGGATCTGAGCTTCCCAGATTTTTAAATGTGTTCATTCAAACTTTTTTTTCCTGTAGCATCTTCAGCTTTCCCCAGTATTTTTATCATTGAACAAACAAAAAGATAGAGTAAAACTCTGTTTCACTAAGTTGCAAAAGTCAACTCAGTATTCAAAAGTCATTGCCCTAGTTCCGAGTTCCGTGGCACTGAAAGTATGATCTCCAACCGGCAGTATCCGCAGCGTCTGGGAGTTGTTAAATGCAGACTCTCGGGCCAAATGCGAATCTATATTTAACCAGAATCCCAGGTGAATCGCCGGTACTTTACAGTGTGAGGAACACTGCCTTGGTTGATAAGCTGGCACATTGGCCGTTATGTTTGGCATTGTGCTACATTCATGCCTGTTCCTCAGTTATAAGCATACTTGTGACTTGTTCAGGTGAAAGGGAGTCACCATTTTCAGAGCATTGATTATTATAGGCTGTGTGGTGGCCTCTGCTTTCTCTCACTTTCTCCTCCAGCAACCTGGGAGAGGAGATAGCACTGCCCTCATTTCACAGATGATAATACTGAGGCTCAGTGAGATCAAGTTGCTTGAAATAGCCAGCAAGTTTCCCACTGGGGTCTGAATCCACCGGATTCTCCCGCACAGCGCCTCGGGTGTGAGAGGCAGAGCTTGAGCGTAATTAAGGGAACGTACCATTTGTACTCGGAGTGACAGCTAAACAAGAAAGGTCACCTTCTTATTCTCCCATTCAATTTTGCTTAGAAGCAGCATATATTTGACTTTCTTACCTTTGAATAGAAACGGTAACCAAGGACTTATTCAGACAGTGAATAAAGAACATGATTGAAACTCAACCTAGGGAGGAAGAGCTGCCTAAGGTATCATGGAGTCATATTGAAATATGCCCTGAACTTTACAGATGAGCTTTTTAGTGGTTTCCTGATACAATCACTCACTGAGGACCTACTGTCTGCCTTTCACTTTCATTTTCTCACTAATTGAAAATTCATAATCCCCGTAAAATATCACCATCCATAAACTGACACTTGAAGCAGAAATACCCCCAATGAAGCAGATGAAGGAAGAGTCAGGTTCTCTTTCCTTTCTCATTAGCCCCTTTATTATTATTATATTAAATTACCTCAGTGGCTGGGATAATTAAATTCAGGGCAAAGAATGGTACCTAATTAGCCAAGCCAAATATTAAAACTCCATTAGCCTGAACTTCACATAGTTGAACTTAAAGGTTTTTATTTTAGTTTTATCTTAAAGACAAGGCCCTGTGTTTCTTTTCTGAAGAAAACTGAGCCTTCAAACTAACGATTGCCCACAGGAACAACAGAGCTTCACAGACATGTGTATGGTATCTAAAAATATTGAGTGCACTTGAGTGGATACACTACTTCAGAATATTGGAAGTTGGTGGAATCTTACTAGGTCCATACAGTTCCTTCCCCAGCCTCCAGCAGATCTATCCTGAAAGTTACACAAAAAACTGTGAGTATTTAAATAGGTCTTTAAAATACCCATAGAAGGACATTCTGCTTATACTCTCTTGGCAGCACTTCCCAGTACCAGCACAACGTGCCTGCCTACCATCTAATGAAACATTCATCTTGCTGCGAGTGAGCCTGTTACCTTCTATCTCCAAGCAAATATTATATGTTTGTTGGAAAGGTCTAACAAATCACAAGAATGCAGGGATTATTAAATTTCTTTTAGGTCCTCGGTACATTATATTGTGCTGGGATGAAAAATTGCATGCCAGAGAAGGCTGAAGGCATTTAGTTAGTGTTATTTCTGTCAAAGAGATAGGAAGGGGAAAGAATCAAAAGCACGTGATGGTGTCTGTAACCATTCCACATCATCACTGCCAGCACCAGAACTGCTCATGTAGGCCACCCAGGATCAAATACTGACCTGGTGATGTGTACAGCCAGAAATTTTCACCAACTCGGGTCCTGTTTGTTTTCTTAAAATATTTTTATTGATTTCAAAAAGGGATAGAGAGAGAGATAGAAACACCAATAATGAGATAGAATCATGGATTGCCTGCCTCCTGCACACCCCACACTGGGGATTGAGCCTGCAACCCAGGCATGTGCCCTGACTGGGAATGAAACCTTGACCTCCTTGTTCATAGGTCAACGCTCAACCACTGAGCCATGCTGGCTGGGCGAGGTCCTGTTTACATTTCTTTAATCAACACCAATCATTATTTGTTCACATGTAAATAAAACATTTAAACCCCAAAGAACATTTGTGGTTTAAAAGTATATTTGTGAGTTTAAAAGTACAATTGAAACAAAGTCTTGTGAGGCCTCTACTCAGTCAATATTTGGGTCCGGCTACCCTAACCTTGTCAAAATTGAGCACTTAATCGTCTTTTCCATAGATGACTCAGGAAACGTCCTGTTCTCATTGTTGTTGGCCCTTCCTCTCTGTAGATACTGCGCACGTGTTCCTTAACAGACTCACATGCACACACACCGAGGCAAGCACTTGTACAATTAAATAGGAGATGGGGGTTCTTGCTTTCATCTGCAAATTTGAAAATCATACCTGGCCAGACAGTATTAACAGCAAGAGTGTGTTTTCTAAACAGAAAAGTCATTAAAATCTTAATGTGAGGCCATTCTGCCTGGATCCGTTCCACAGACTTCACAGAGCACAGCTATATAATATCCTTACACCCTTCACTGCCTTTGTTCTACCTGGAAAAGAGAATCATAAAAGGAAATTATGCTTTATTTCTAGGAGCTAAAATCAAGTTTTAATATTGTCCAAAAATGACACATACCGTTCCTTTATCTTATTAGTTTTTTGGCATATTGGGTAATAAGATAATTTCTCATGGTGCAGTATTTATGTAAGAATCATATTTCTCTCTGTGCAGATCACTTACAGAAGTGTCTGTTAACAGGAGAGAATGATGCATAATCGGCACTTAAGATTAAAATAGACCTGAGAACATAAAAGTGTTCCTTCAATTAAAGGAATAGCATTTCTCCAGTCTCATCTTTTTTTGTTTCTGCAGCAGAATGAAAAGTGGCTTAAAATCACCCAACCCCAGGTTAGTTACCAGAAGGCTTCCCTACGCAAGTCTAGCTTCATCTACTCTTGGTTCAGACGCAAAGTGGACTCACATACCATTCCAGGATGCCATGTAATTCTTCTAAACGGTTTCCAGCAAAGTTATTGAGGTTTAAGAAATTGTTTCTAGAAAGGGCACTGATGTTTATTAAGTCTCTCAGGTATGCTAGGCACTATGCATTTGGTCCTGCCAGCTCCCCGAGGGGTAGCGTCCTTCTTTCACATTGAGCAAAAAGACACTCGGAGAGATTTGGTATCTTGCACAAGTGAGTAGGTGGTGAAAACAGAATTCAAACACGGCCTGTCTGATCCCAAAGCCCCCAGTTATACCACCCTGGCTAGGAGCCAATCTGTCATCCTAAGAGCAAAACAGTTACCAGGCAGCCCTCACCACAATGAAAGGTGCAGGTGAGTCCCCTTATGTAAGGAACAGGGGAAATTTAGGTTAATGCAGTGTCTGGGGCTAACCCCTCCCCAAATCTTTACTGGAAAAACAGACCCATGGCATTTGTTTATAGGCAAATTGACAAAGAAAGACTAAAAATGATAGTTTTAAACACTGTTGTTCATCAGTGTTTGAAGATGAAATTATTTGTTGACAGATCTAATGAAACCACCAAAAGTCAGCAAGATGGGAAGGAGTTGAGGATAGGACTGGAAGGCATGAAGATTTCAAAGCCAACTTGGTGCCCTTGGCACTGCCCTCTGGGTCTCCCTAAGAGGTGAGGCCTGTGTGAATCAGGAGCACCTTGGTTTGTGCTCCTTTCACTGTGTGGGCCTTGAGTCCTCAGAAAAATCCGGGGAGACACATAGTATAATCCCCATTTTACATCTGACAAAAACAGGCTCAGAGACTCTCTTGAGTATCTTGCCCAAGGCTGTATAGCATGTAGCAGAATTGGAATGTATCCCCATATCATCTGGCTCCAACCCAACATCTGTCTACTGCACCACACCATGACCTTTCAATGCGATACCACCATTTGTTGGACCCACCTACCTGTGAGGTAGGCAGGGTGGGGGTGGGGGAACCAGCCTAAGCCTTGTCTACCCAAGAATCCCCTCTCTGAACATCTGTCATATGCCAGGCACTGAGCAAGGAACCCAACGATGAATAAACACATTCAGCCTTTTTTTTCCTTCCACCTATTTTCTGCATGGCACTGTGCAGTGGGTTATGACAGGAAACAAAACAAAATGAAAAAACAGGAATGGAAATTTAGAGTTTTGTTATAAAGACGAAACTTATGCAATAATTATTTAGCCACACCAGGTAATTTCTGTGCTAGAGGAGAATTATGGGAAATGTTGAAACCCTATGGGGAGTGGGAGGAGTATCTGGGCCCAGAAAGGAAAGGGAGTGGCGTGATGGGAAAAGAATGAGCTTTGGGTACATCGTTTCATGTCTCTGAGATGCCTTACCAGAGAAGGATGGGTCAGAGATAAGAATATGTCAAGTTCCTAGCACTGGATGAAGAGTAGTAGGAATTAAACAGTAGCCCGAAAGAGTTCCCAGAAGTAAAGAGCTTGGGTGGGGCCCTCAGCACAAGGGAGTGGGTTCCTCTGGATGCAAAGAACATCTCAAGTAAGGGAGGGAGGAATAGTCAGGGGATACATGTGGGAATAAGCTCTTGGAAATCTCACTCGGCCTCATGAGACCTGAGCTGCTTTTGAAACACAACAATAACTCCAGTCTCACAGCAGCAGGGGATCTGATTGTCCCAAAGCAAATCAGAGACCCCATTGGTCACTCCTCAGTGCTCGGTCACTACAGGGACTCAAGCCATCCCATCTCCTCCCTTTAATGATGCTCCCTTTACCAAGGAGCCCAATTCTCCATGAATAAACAGTTCAGATTCCAGAGAGAAAAACCATGTTGGCCCTGGCTAGTGAGCTTTACAGGCTGCTGGCATCACTAATTCTC